TGAGCCCCAGTCCAACGCTCAAAGCATTACACCATACTAGCCATCTTTTACTTGATGGCTATTGCTTGGTACATTTTCCCCAGAATTTTATCTGATTTCCAACTTCTACATACTCTGGTGCTTAAACAGGGCACAGGATTGCCAGATTTTTTCTAATTCAAATCTTATTGCATTAGCCAAAAAGCATCAGTAACATTTACTTGAAACTTGCAGTAGAGTTGCAGCAGTTCCGAGGCTTGTGTGTTTCCACCCTGCACCTCATCCAGGGACAACTGCATTCTTGCCACCTCTTACCGTCAATAGGAATGTTATTAGAAGGGGTTTGGAATGGAATGTTCTGAATGCTTTCATTGCCAAGTGTGTTTCAGTAAGGAAAGAGATTTGCAATGTAATTCTCTCCACATCATCAGTAATGTGGAGAAAACTCTCTGAAGAACAAAAGCAGACCAAAAATACAGCCATGCAGAAACTAGCTATGGTGCATGTTGTATCCAAGAACCTGCTCTGCAGGTTGCTATGCCACTGCTACCTGCCTGGAAATGTCAGCGGACAATGTGATGCAATAATTGAGTACAAGAGGCTAATCTAGAGATGACTTTCAGTAGCGTAGTAGTTTATGGCTAATCATCTTTAAAAGATGCACAGCTAACGCAGTGTAGGAATGAGACACAAAGAAATACCCATTACAGGCTTTTGCAAAACTGGAACTAAGAGAATGATCCTTCATCCAAATCCATTGAATAGCTTTATGGCACAACTCTATGGCCTCCTGGCATTGTTTGAGGGTTCACCAGATTATTTGAAACTGGGATTATTTGAAGACTGAGCACTTGCTCCACACCCCTCCCAACTGGAAACCTCTCTGAGGACGCAACTGGTCCTTGAAGAGGAGGAATGGGGTGTGGTGAGGATGGGGAGGTCGGGCCTGGCAACTAATGGCATCTCCTAATGGCACCCCAGCCTCCTCCTCTCTCCCTCTTGTACGTCATCCAGATGACTGAAAACAGCTGTCTAGACAAAATGCTTAGTACAAGGTTCTGCAGTGCCAGCAATGGCCACCGCCACGGTTTGCTCTGGACCTCCACTGCACATAAGCATCTGAGATGGAAGTTTTCCATGCATCTGCAGTGCAGGGCATTGGATTGTGCTCTCCAGGAATCTCCTGTACCTGGAAATAGCAATACTGGCTCACTTGAAGATAGTTTCAAAATGTGCATTGGCAAAATATCTATACTAGGCCAATTTAAAGGACACAAGAAACGTGCAAAATTCAAAATGTCCAGATCTTTTTTTCAGGCAAAGTACAACCCAAGCAAGTTGGAGTGAAATAGGGTGAAAAAGGCTGACTTGATATTGATACCCTGATGCTTGCCCTGTTTCTTAGGTCACCCAGTGAAGCACTCGTGGCAGTTCTGTATGGGTCCATTGGAGCACACACAGAGGGCCACTTTCTGTGTACTAACTCCCCCGCCCACTGATTGACAATGTTGTTTTTGACACCTGCCAAAGGTATTTTAATTTCAACAACCCTTCACTGACAAACCAGGTATGGTTTTATTGACTTAACCATTTTAATTCTGTATTTTTATTTTTCCCTCCGTGAGTCACAACTTGGGGGTGCTATAAGGAGCAATATTTAAATATATTAAAATGAAATGAGGAAGCAGGTGCTGTGGAGATTTCAGTTTCCCTATATTTCTTCCTAGGACTGGTGGGAAGAAAGCAAACCATGGTTGATTCCTCCCCCCCCCCCTTTTTTTTTGCTGCAAGTGTAAAGAATATCAAAAGAGTTTGGTGTACTTCACAAATGCTCATCTCCAACACACTGGTTCCTTTTGCCTCAATCTTCCTTTTAGTCCTTGCTCCAGGGATAGGTGGTGTCCAGGGTTCTACACAGCTGCTTGGAGCCACAGCCAACTGCATTGGATAGCTCCCAGCTGAGAATTTGACAGCACGGTCTTTGGGAAAAGTTGTGCTTTCCAGCCTCTTTACTGCGTCTCAAATTCAGCAGCAGTGTTTTATCAAACCTTTCTTTCATATAGGTGTAACCTGGATAATGTACATATTGTGTATCGGACAGAACACAGCATATTCTTCTCCAATGAAAGATCTTTTCTCAGAACCATGACCTTCAAAAGAGCATTTGGTGGCAGTGTGAGGAGGTTCTCTTGGTGGCTGCTCCCATCTTATGAAAACTCCATATAAAGACAGGCTAGACTGGCTGTGCTATCCTTCTTCCAGAAGGCAAAAACATTTCAAGCTGTCTCTTGGTATGTAAGCTCATCTGTTGGATAGGGTGCTTTTTTGGGTAATCTTTTGTGTGCTTTATCTGTGTTTTCTTGCTTTTAACCAAGTTTTCTATCTGTTTTAAAGATTTGACTGTTAAGCCACCTCATGAACAATTTGTGGAAACGCAGGGCACACTTTGAATAAATAAAATCCATGTAAAGAACAGATTTGCATTACTGAATGCAATTGCCTGTGACCCAGAAGAACTGCAAAATGAACCAAGAGGCATTATTAGGAAAGAATGCAAAAAGGCTATTCCTGTAGCAAAAAAGGAAAAAAAAGAAAAAAGGGGGGGGGAGCAGCCTGGATGATGGAAGAAACAAAATTGCTAAGGTCAGGTGAGAAGCAAACGGTGGCAGAAATCAGAATTCCAAATGCAATTTTTCAGTGACTATCTTGACTATCATGTAGTGACAAAAAGAACTGTAACAATGGCCAGTGCAAAGAAATAGAAAAGAACAATGCAAGAGGAAACACAAGAGACCTCTTCTAGAAGATCAAAGAAATCAAGGGGAAATTTAAACCTAGATTAGGAATGCTGAAAGACGAAAAGGGAAGCATGATGTCTGATCAGGAAAAAACAAACAGAACATGGAAAGAATATATGGAAAACTATACAGAAGAGATAAAAAGATGACTAGTTCCTCCAAAGAGGGGTCCTATGATGAACCGACAGTATTAGAAAGTAAAGGGAAAGCTGCATAGAAAGAATGTGGAAAGAATGAAGCACCCAGAGTAGATAGAGCACCAACAGAACTATTCCAAGCTGGAGAGATTGAATAGGTCCAAATATACCAGCCTCTATGGAAAACAAAACAGTGGCCCACAGGCAAGAAATTTTCAATAAACATTTCAGTACCCAGAAAGAAGATGCAAGAGTGCAGCAACCATTGAGCTAATTTCTCATGCAAGTCAAGTGATGCTCAAGGTATTGCAGCAAAGAATTTTAATGTATATGCAGCAAGAAATGCCTGAATGTCAAGCTGGAATCTGAAAAGAGGCACTAGAGATCATATTGCAAATATATGTTGGCTGCTAGAGTGTACCAAAATAATTCAGATCAGTCTATGTACAGCAAAGCCTTTGACTGTGTGTGCGTGCGTGCACATGTGCACACGCCTCAACACTGGAGTGCCTCCACATTTTGATTGTCCTGTATCATGGACAAGAAGCTACTCTTAGGACAGAATATGGAGAAACACAATGGTTTTCTACAGGTAAAGGCATCAGACGAAGGTGTATTTTATTTAAAGGTGTTCACTCTGTGCACAGAACATATCGAAAGGAAAGCAGGAGTAGGATCAGAGGAAGGAGTGGACATTGGCAGGTGATACCGTATTTCTGGCGGAAAGTAGCAATGCATCTGAATGACACTAGATGTAAACGAAAGAAGAAAGTACAAAAGTAGGACTTGCAGGTAAACATTAAGGAAACAATAATTTTAACTACGGAAGTACACCGCTCTTAAATCAACAATGAAGAAATTGCAACTGTGAAAGAGTTTGCATACTTTTGCTCAATCATCAATTAAAAGGGAACCCGCAGCCAAGAAACTAGAAGATGACAGACTTGGAAGGGCTATTATGAAGGAACTAGAAGAGATCATTGATTGCAAGATAGTTTCACTGGAAACCAAAGTTAAGGTCATCTGCACTACTATATTCCTGATCACTATGCATGTGTGTGAACACTGGAAAATGAAGAAAGCTAACAAGAAAATCCATACATTTGAATACTCTGGGCCAATAGAAAGACAAAGAAATGTGTCTTAAATTAAGCCAGAACTATTCCTGGAAGAAAAGCTGATGCAACTGAAGCTCTTATACTTTGGGCATAATGCTAGGGAAAGTCAAAGGCAGAAGATGACCAACTTTGAGATGAATCAGTTCTATAAAGGAAGCTATAACCTTGAGTTTCCAAAAGCTGAGCAAGACTTATCAAGGACAGAATAGTTTGAAGGGCATATAAAGTTGGAGACAAGTTGATGGCACATAACAATATAAGGTACTGGAATTGCTTGAATTTTCCCCATGTTTCAAATAACGTGAGTTTTCTGTTAAAGTGGTCAAATAGAACATATAGTGCTCAGGCCTTCAATTCAACAACTTTGAACTCCATGTGCCTCTCTGTGATTAGGAGCAGAAAATAAGACAAACAAAATGAAGAGACATAGCTCACAATAACAAACAAAACGTATCCATGCCAGTTCATAAGAAAATATCTAAATAAGAACCCTAGGATCTACTAAAATGTCAAAAATAGTGAGATTTCAAAACAAAGATGTTTGCTCTCACCATACTGTGGATTCTGTAATATGCCATGTGGATTCAAATTCTTTTTGTCCAAGTTACTTTGCTGCATATCATAGATTACTCTCTCGCACTCTCTAGGCAAGTGGAGAGAAAGAGTGAACCATATTATGTACTGAAGTCTCCAGCTGCTTAAAGGTCCTCCATTTGTACCTGTTTCTTGAGCTCATTTCTGAAACATTTTCCCACTGTGTTCCATGCACCTCCTTCCCCACAAGATGAGTGCTTAGTAAAACTGTTTTCTTTAGAAAAAACCCACAAAGTGGGGAAGGTGGTTCTATCCATAAATTGCCAATCCTAGCATCACAACTAACCCAGAAGAAATTGTGCAATTTCCCCACTGACTTGACCAGACATAATCAAGCCAGTTTGTGAGCAACCGAATTAAGATTGTCATGAATATGAAAGGCAAGCACAAGTTCATTTATTTATAGCAAAGGTCTTGGGTTACAAGAGGTCAGTTCTTGCCATCTTGAAGAAACGTTAAACGGGTTAAGTTATTGCATACATGTGCATTATAATTTAGCAGCAAGTCATTTGACAGAACACATTTCCCCTTCCTACCAACTTTTGTAATTTTTTTGGTTTAGTCACTCGAATTGTATATGGATAGCTCTTTTTGGCTTTTACAAAGCATGTAACACCACCTTTAAGTTAATGGTCTTTTATTGGAAAAAAAAGACTAGCATTTACAACTTGGAATGGACATAACTGTAATATCTTGAACAGCGATGTTGATAGTTGTGCTGAAGTCCACATGTTACTCTGCTAGCTCCAAGTCTCAGTACAGAAGGTTTTAAAAATGCGGGTGGGGGGGGGAGAGGAGAGCACATCCAAAGGTGCTCACACCCCTTCGAAAGTTTCTTTTTAAAAGTTTTGTGAACGGTAACAGCCCAACACCCGTCTCACAATAGTGCAATGCAGACAATATTAAAACCAATGTAACACAAACACGCCATCCACGGCCTCTGTCATTTGTGGTGGGGGGGAGGGTTAGAACACTGCTACTACACACAGGAGAACTTTCTCCACCTTTGGGGTTTTCCCCACTCTAAACTTTTTGCATCCCTCAACCTTTTTGCTGCATACCATCCTGAGGTATAAACCAATTTGAAAGTAAAACCAGCTATGACAATTTAATAATTACAAATTCAGCCAGAATCCACTTTGGGACAAAAGAGTGGATTGGTGTTCTTTTTTTTAAGATGTATTTTTTCTCTCTTTTTTTAAAACTGTTTTAATACAAATGTCTGACTGTGCTCAATTGTCAAGCTGCATGCATGAAAAACTGGCCAGCCCAAACAGTGTAATCGTCATCAGCAAATGGAACTTTGTGGAGTTCACTAAGTGCCTTCTTTTTTTTTCTTTTAAAGGTAGTAGAATTATTTATATTTGGTAAAAGAAACTGATGTTTAACTTGATCTTTTGGGAACAGGACCACCAACCATGACATGCAGTTTGTGGACAGAAAGTATTTTGACATTCAGTTTTGCTATACAGAAACAGAATGAATAAATGAACTTTTTTTTTTTGCAAGAGGTAAGTAAAAGATTCAATTTGATTCTTCTAGAGGAAAAAAGGTGAAAGGAGGTCTCTTCATTTTGCAGTCATCATCTGTACGAATTCTGAAAGAGACAAAGGAAGAGAAACACCATTTTTTCCAAACAGGTTTAGATGCAGAAACAAAACACAGCTATTCTAAAACATGCAAGAAAAGTGCAGAAACTGCCACTTCTAGTACAACAATTTAGGTTTGAAACCTCTTCAAAAGGCTAGCCAACCACACTTTACCTTCATAGTTGACTTGCCCATCTCCATCAATATCTGCTTCTCTGATCATTTCATCTACTTCTTCATCTGTTAGCTTTTCTCCTAGGTTTGTCATAACATGACGTAGCTCTGCCGCACTGATGTAACCATTGCCATCCTGGGAAGACAGCAAATGTCAGAGAATTGAGGTTACAAGAGTAATTCAAAAAGTCCCAGCAGAGGTTGCTGGTAAGGGAGGCCTGCTACAAATCAACATTCAAATTCTCAACCCAACTTATTTTTCTACAGAACAGGGGTAGGCAACTTGAAGTGGGGAAAGTTTTCCATTCCATGGGCCAAATTCCGGCCCAAGGTCTGGGGGCTCATGTTCTATCTGTTGGTAGGATCAAAGACAAAGTGGACAGAGCAAAAATCTGATTATTACTAATTTTAAGCCTACTCAAAAGGAAGCAGGACCAGCATGCCTAACCGTAAGTACAGACTTTATTTAGTAACATGCTTGTTGGAACGGAGGATGATAGAGCAAATGTTTTGCTCCTTAATTTTGCAGAACGGCTACTCCCAAGCAATAAGTCTGTCCAATGACCCTAGTAAACTGAAGTCTTCTTGGGCACTGGGATGCTTCCCCCTCTAGGGAAAAAAAAAACGAAACAGAAATACAGAAGCAATTTGGAACACGATCCTGAAAGAGCAATTTGGAACATGATCCAATCAGACACTTCAACATGCCCACTAAGACCAACTTTTTTCCTTTTGAGCATCAGCCACAACCACACAGCATCACTAACCATTCCTGAAATCTCCCCACTCCTCAAACCCACAAGCGATCCAGAAGGGGTCTGGTATGTAAGATGGGAGGCTGCAGTTGAAAAGCATTATGCAAAAATCCAGCTGGGGGCAGGGCACGAATCATGTGGCACTTTGGATTCTGCTCACAGTGTGTTTAGGAGGCAAAGTTATTTAAGCCAGTACTGCGTAACAGGGATCCCATGGTACACCGACAGTATCAAGGAAGCAGCCACAAAAGCTTGCATTGACTATAGTGCTAAACAATCAGTGTAAGGCCGTGTATTAAGCCTGGTTCCGATATTAGACCCTTGTTTGAAAGCAGCTCATAAGATGCCTGGGTTCAGACTCTTAGATGAAAACAGGAGACTTTCACCAAAGCCAGAAAGGGGAAGAGAAAGGGACTGTATCTCAATTGCAGAGTATGCAGAAAACCCTAGAAATCTATCACAGCAGAGAATGTGGATACAAATACTGCAGCCCCCAGACTGCAGTAGGCCCAGAAGAGAAAAACACTCCTGGCATGAGCTATATGGTTCCTGCCATAGGAACACCATTACTAAAGCACCCCAGAATGCTCTGGGAATGGTGCTTCTAAGGCAAAGACTTCAGGGACTGTTTCCACAGACTTTGTTTTGTTTATTCTGAAAACGTTCCAGGTAGCAGAGCATAAGATGTTGGGATCTATCAGCCAAAGAGGGTTTAATAAGTGGAGAAGGGCTAGGTGGTAGGATTTCTGGATGGCTGGGCAGTTTGAAAACTGAGGTTTCTAGAAGAAGTGCTGGATTTATCTGACGAACAAACAAGCCACCCAGCTTCTAAAAAGCTCTGAGGAGGGAGTTGGATTTGAGTGACTGGTGTGCATGTACTCAAGTACGCACACAAATGTACAGTACCTTCTACCCCAGCAAACACCCTGGAACTGAAAAGGTTGTGCACCCTGGGAGCAGGCAACAATGAGTTACACGGACTGATGGTCTGACCTGGAATAAGGCAGTGACTCACTATGTTGCTAAATGAACCAACTCTGGTTTATGTGGACCAAAATTCTGTAGCCTGAACTGGCCATCATGTAAAGATGCCTCTCTCATCAGAAGTCATAGTTTTTCTGCTTGGGTTGCAGCAAAATATATTTCAGAATCTCAGTTGCAGAAAAGAGTCTGTGTCTTCTTTCATTGCATAAGGATACCACAAAAGTGTTTTTGACCTTTCATGAAGCTAGCATGAACAAGGAAAGATAACTCTTGATTGAAGCAGAGGCAGTTTGGATGGAGAAATGCCTAGGCTATAAGGTGTTCAGACTTGAATAAGGGAAATTGTGGTCTTAGTGCTTTGTTCATCCACAGTCTTCAAAGAACATCTAAAGAGAAGCTACTATCTCAAGATCTAACATCAAATGAAATGGAATACTTACCAGCACATCCAGTTTTGTTAAAGTCTTGTTGATTTCTACCTAAACCAGAGGCATTTCAAACATAGAGAGTTCACACACTGTGGCAGCTCTTCCTGGAACATTTAACCCAGGAATTGTGGGGAAAAGCAGAATGCATGAGCTACATGGCTTTTAATCAGTATCCAGAAATGCCCCCATTCTTGGGTTGTTTTCTGACATCCAAACCTGGAAACTCTGGGCTAAACAACCTAGACTTAACCTAGTAGTTGTACATTGTTTGTTGTCAAATCCATGAACAACCCAGAGTTTTTGAGTTTTTGTAACAGAACGGCCCAAAACAAGGAGTTTCTGAGTTGCTGATTAAAAATGAAGCTGAGTGCATGACAAACACACTCTGTACATTACCACCATTCATGGGTTAAGCAACCCAAGATTTGTTGCCAAGATGGTTGAACCAACTCATGGGACAGCAATGAGATGGAGAGTATGTCACAGAGCACATTCCCGAGGAACCTCAGGCAACCTTTTTTAAAGATGTACATCCAGAAAATGGCAACCAGTAAAGAGGTCAACTACAGGTTAATAGTTGCTGTAGCATTTGGCAGTGAACAAAACACTTTTTAAAAATTTTAACTGAAGTTTATCTCTCCCAACAAACTCATTAGATAAGGTAAAGAGATCTGATCATAACTATCAGCATTCATCAACACTCAGCCATGCTGTTGAAAATAAAATTTATCTCCTTCTTTGTTGCAATGTCCAAATCAACCTGAGGGACAGTTCAAACACTCAGCTGATTCCTCCAAAAACTACCTTGTCAAAGACTCTGAACGCTTCACGAATTTCTTCCTCACTGTCTGTGTCCTTCATTTTTCTGGCCATCATAGTCAAGAATTCCGGGAAGTCAATAGTGCCATTGCCTTTAAAAAGAGGAGGAATAAAAATGATACCCAAATATCCAAATACTTATTAAAAGGGAAAACCTCCCACTCTTTTCCATTTATGACAGAGCATGTGGTCAGAGTTTAACTATCTCAGTTATGGATCAAGCAGTTCCTGTTACCCACTTCATCTTTCTTTTAAATGTAATAGAAAACTTGAATAAGAGCAGACTAATGCCAAAATTTTAAAGAACAGGATTCTTGTCTAAATTGCTTTTTCTCCTGCTAGTAGTCCATGCTGTTATAATCCTGAAGAGACGGTTACAAGGCTCCCTGCGTGGAACTTCTTGTGAAAACAACTTGGAAACTGCAGCTGGTGCAGAATGACGCTGCCTGAATGCTAGCAGGGCAGCCAGAGGCGAACACATTACTGCTTAGCTTCAGAATCTCTGCACTGGCTGCCAGTAAAGCTATCAGGTCCAGTTCAAGTTTTAGTACTAGTGTACTAAGCCCTAAATAGCCAAGACAACTTCTCCAGTACTGAGAGAACTGGGATATAAAGTTGTCAGGGTGGATCTGCCCTTGAATGATGTGGCTTCTTGGCTTACCACATAACAGAATTGTCTTGGTGGTAGCTATACCCTGCCTTTCTAGTAGAGATTCAGTTTTCCTCATTACTGTTGTCATTTGGTCACCAAGAATTGTTTCTCTGTACCCTTTTGAAGAGTATTTATTAGTTTTTGAGATGGATTTTTTGTATTTTAATAAATATTTGTAATTATTGTGTTATGTTCTCAATTGCATATTTACACTGCACTGTTTTACATGGGTGGTTACTTACCCTACTGGGTTCCTTATGAAGAAGAGTGGGATATTAATAAATTATTATGATTCAGCTTTAAATCACAAAAAATAAGAACACAGAGGTAAACCTGCTGTGAGGGCTTTTTTTCTAAACACAGGCTGCATTCAAGAACTGAGTGCCCTTTTTCCTGACAGAAAAGTGGGGTATAAATCAAATAAATATTACTGTGAAGTCTAAGAGTTTCAAGCTTGCTTAACACCAATAAATACAACTCTAGGATTCTACCCGTTTCCCCACTAGGGGCAGTCCTTTACCTTCATCAGATCCAAAATTCAGATTCAGAAAGTAGGGTTTCCTAGTCCAATACATAATTATTCAAAACCCTTTCCTACCAGATATTATTAAATTATAAGGCAGTCTCCCCCAGCCTGGTGTTCCCCAGATATTTTGAACTGGAATGCCAGCTTCCTGCTTTGGTCACCTGCTGTAGCTGGCAGCCATTTCTAGAATATTCCCCCAGGCACCAGTCTACTTTTCAATGTAACTCTTGATGGGCAACACATCTGTTGTAAATTTCCCAGAAATAGGTAGGTAGTGGGTCCTACCAGTGGGTCCCATGGTTTTGACTGCCAGCATTGCAAATTGAGAAAGAAGCACTGATGCAGTCTCCAAAGAAAAATTATATTCCTTTTAATAGCATTGGCACCAACAGTCTTTTCTTTAAAAACTTCTGGATTTTCTCTTTTCAAGACTCATGGTTAGCCAAAAGTTAAGTAATTTCTTGATACCAATCACAGATTCAAAATGACAGGATACAAACTCCTACAGCCCCAAGAAAGAATAATCAAATTCTCACAGGGCAGAAACCTGTTTCAAAGAGCTGAACCAACCTGATACAGCCCTCTGATGACTGTTTGGGACTCTGTTTACCAAAAGCTCATGAAGCATTAATTTGTTTCAGAAAGGGACCCGTCTGCAATTTCTCTTCCTCATCACTTCAGGCATCATTTTTGGAAGACTCCAAGCCATGCTACATGTCACCTCAGATGCACAGGTCTGACCCGGAAAGCAAGGGCTTTCTCCCTGGCACACAAATTGTCACCCAGTAGCCTCTCTGAATACCAGTTGCTGGAACAAGAGCGCTTGGATTCTGTTTGCACTCATGTTCTACTTGTGCACTTCCCACAAAAACTGGGGTGGCCACTGTGGGAAACACAACCCTGGAATAGCTAGGACTTAGTCCTAATACAGCATGGTTCTTATGCCAGCTTGGGAGTGGGCACTTTAACCCTTTGCCCTACAACTCCATTTTGCATTGTAAGAAGAAGAGGTTTCAATTACAAAGGATTCTAGATTGCAGTCACTGGTGTGTATCAATCTCGATCACAAAGGCAGCAGGAAAGCAAAGGCTTCAAGCTCCCACAGTCCTCACAGTAGGATTCTAAGAGGGGCCTCCATTCTGGCAACCTGAAGCAGGAGAAAAGTCCTGCATTCATGTCCAAATCTCCATGACTACAGTAAAATGTCTACCTGGGACACAAATCCTCAGGTACAAGGGCCAAATACAGCCTTCCTAGGGTCCCAATCCAACCCTGCTAAGTTCTACAGCTGGTCACATCTCCTTCTTTCCACCACCAATAGTTTGGTGGTGTCCTGGCTTTGGTGAGGTTTTTCCCCTCAAAGATTGAAATGCCTCTCTTATGGTTTAGTTCTTGGCAGTAAGTGCTTCACGCTAAAATACATGGATACGTTTTGCCTTTCAGTCCCACCTGTTTGCCTTTGACCCTCTCCACCGTTGGAATACCATCTCTACCTCTTCTCCAAGAACTTCTGGGTTTGAAAAAGTTTTACTGCTCCCGAGCCAGATGGAGTTACATTCCCCCTGAAATCTCACACTCACAATTTAGCTATATTCCTAGATGCCTAGGTTTCTGCAGTGGCCAGGAGTTTGTCTGAATAGGTGATGCTAGTGTATCAACTGTGCCACTTGCTGAAAATGTTTGAACTCCCCATGGCCATGAATGCCTTAGTTCCACCCACTCTGAACTAAACTGATGTTCTCTACATAAAGATGTTGAAAAATTGGTCAGGAATTATGACTGATTTCAAATGCCATGGCCAGACTCTTGACTGGGGCTGAACACAAGCAGCACACAACTTTCTTGTTAGAACAGCTGGATTACCTACTGGCTCAAAGGGTCAGCTATGAGCTACAGAATCCTATAAAGTTTGGGATCAGGTTACCTAAAAGACCAGCTTTTCCCAATTAAGCTTGTCTGCATTTTATGGTCCCCATGGAAACCCTTCCTTCAGTACTGCCTCCATCTGAAACACATTTGGCAGGGACACAAGAGAGGGCCTTCTTGGTGGTTATTCCCAGAATTTGGAACTCCCTTCCAAGGAAAGTGCAGCTGGACCCCTTTCTGTTGTCCTTCCACCAGCAGGTAAAGATGTTTCCTATTCAACCAGGTCTTTGCCATGTAAGCTGGTCTGATGAGCTGAGTGCAGTTTTATTTTTATTGCTACTGGTGTTTGTTTATATTTATTTGTATTTAAGAAATGATTAATTTTATGTTTTAACTAAGTTCTTATTTTAAATTGTGGTTTTTATTATTGTTACATGTCCTGAGTACCAATTTCCTGGGTGCAAAGTTGGGGTATAAATCAAATCAAAATCATTTAGTTGGTCATACGGTTCCCCTTCCACAAGATTATACAGCTGCTGCTGAAGCCCTAAACTTGTGGAGTTTACTAGGATGGAGAAGACTGGTCTACAGGATTATAGGACAGGGTTAAAAAGTCGCCTGCCATTGCAAAGAGCTGAAATACTACCTTTGTTAAAAGAGAGTGAGAGTTTCAGTAAATGATAGTGTCTCTGTGATGGCTATGATATGCTCACTTCTGCTAAAACCTTAAAAGCACAGCTGGACTAAGTAGTGAGTTAATGTTTGATAGGATTTCTGTGATGGCGAAAACAATTTTATGGCCCCTGGGGAAGGTCTCAGGGATGACACCATTCTTCAGACCTCCCTCCAAGGCTGTAGACACAGCTACAAATCAGCAGGGGAATCTGAAATACAATCCTTCCCACTGTGGAAAATACGGTGCCGGCTGCTTTACAAGATTATAAAAATGGCCTTGGAGGACCTCAGAAAAATCTGAGTCTTGTGGTAGGTGGAAGGGGGACGAAAGGGTAGCCAGATTATATCTTCATGGAGAAATCAGATTATTAAAAACTCTCTGGCCACTCCAGCCTCAGCCATCTACCTCCACTAGATGTGCTCCAAGAGAAAAATGGAGGCTGGAAGGGTGAAAATTAGCTGTCACTCTTCTTGTCCTGCTGGCAAGCCAGGGATAGAGGCTTCTGGCCAACCAAAGCACTGTGTGTAGGACTTCAGCCTTAGGCATTCACAGAACTTGATTTCAGAGGTTATGTTCACACATAAAGGAAAATGGCCCATCTGTTTAAATGCTTACCATCAGCGTCTACCTCATTGATCATGTCTTGCAGCTCTGCTTCTGTTGGGTTTTGACCCAGCGACCTCATGACAGTCCCAAGTTCTTTTGTCGTGATGGTGCCATCACCATCTTTGTCAAATAGAGAGAAGGCCTCCTTGAACTCTGAGGAGAGATGGAGCAGTAGGGGAAAAGAAAGACATATCCCTATTTAGCACCATGACTGACATCCAGTATTGACCAAGCAACGTTAAGTCCAGATGATGATTTCACAAAGGAGAAATTAAGACAATGTTCTACATGTCACCAACAAGCAAACCTGATAAAGAATACACAGATCTACATTACTTGTATATCAGGGCTGTATAAAACTCCCAATCATAAATTGAGAAAGAAGGATCCAAGGTGAAATCTAAAATGTAGTGGACACAGTGTTGGTCATGGACCACCAAAACTATGATGTAGATCCTTCAACTCAGCCATGAAGCTCACCTGAACCAGTCTCCCTCTCTCAGCCTAACCTACAACACAGAGTACTAGGAAGGTAACCTTGTCCTGGAAAGGGTAGAAATTGCAATGCAAGAAAGAAAACCAGGCCCTTGAGGCAGAGGAGTAAAATTAATTAGCCACCACAATTCAAGTCTTCCAAGTTAAACTCTCCTTTTTCCCCTAGCCCATGTCCAATGAATATAAACTTCCAGTGGTTGGAAGCTGCCTTTCCATGAGACCACTACCTATCTTATCATTCAGTAACAACTTTCAGCAAGCACAGCAACACAGGATAGTACACATTACATCAAACTTCACAATTCTCATACCCTGAAGTGCATCTTGTGGAGAAACAGTGATCAAGAACATGTCCAAATAAATATTTGGACCCAAAAATATGTCTCTCATATTTAAAACCTTTCTGTGTGGTTTAAAATTGCTCATGATTAATAAAGAGTTATCTTCATGCAGAAGCCTGGATTCACAAAAACAAAGACTGTTTTTTCTTTAAGAGTCACAAAGTAGATTATTAGGCAAACTGTTTGCTCTCAAACATACTTTGTCAAGGCTTTTCACAAGTTATATAAAGTTAGTGCAGAAGTTTAGATCATTATGCTATGCTAGTCACAAAGTCCCATGCGACCCATCGCGACCCCACAGACAACATTCCTCCACCATTCCCTGGAGTCCACTAAAGTTCACGCCGACTGCTTCAGTGACTCCATCTAGCCACCTCATTCTCTGCTGTCTCCTTCTTCTTTTGCCATCCATTGTTCCCAGCATTAGGCTCTTCTCCAGGGAATCCTTCCTTCTCATTAGGTGGCCAAAGTATTTGAGTTTCATCTTCAGAATCTGGCCTTCTAAAGAGCAGTCAGGGTTGATCTCCTCTAATACTGACTGGTTTGATCGCCTTGCAGTCCAAGGGAATCGCAGGAGTCTCCTCCAGCACCACAATTCAAAGGCTTCAATTCTTCAGCAGTCAGTCTTCCTTATGGTCTAACTTTCACAGCCATACATTGCAACTGGGAAAACCATAGCCTTGACTATACGCACTTTTGTTGGCAGGGTGATGTCTCTGCTTTTTAGTATGCTGTCTAGATTTGCCATAGCTTTCCTCCCAAGGAGCAAGCGTCTTTTAATTTCTTGGCTGCAGTCACCATCTGCGGTGATCTTGGAGCCCAGGAAAATAAAATCTGTCACTACCTCCATTTCTTCCCCATCTATTTGCCAGGAAGTGAGAGGACCGGATGCCATGATCTTAGTTTTCTTAATGTTGAGTTTCAAGCCAACTTTTGCCCTCTCCTCTTCCACCCACATCAAGAGGCTCTTTAATTCCTCTTCACTTTCTGCCATTAGAGTAGTATCATCTGCATATCTGAGGTTGTTGATCTTTCTTCCAGCAATCTTAACTGCAACTTGTGATTCATCTACCCCTGCCTTTCGCATGATATGCTCTGCATATAAGTTAAATAGGCAGGGGAACAGTATGCAGCCTTGTCATACTCCTTTCTCAATTTTGAACCAATCAGAAATTTGATGCCCAGTTCTCACTGTTGCTTCTTGACCTGCATACAGGTTTCTCAAGAGACAAATAAGATGGTCTGGTACTCCCATCTCTTTAAGAACTTGCCAAAATTTGTTGTGGTCCACACAATCAAAGGCTTTAGCATAGTCAATGAAGCAGAAGTAAATGTTTTTCTGGAATTCCCTAGCTTTCTCCATGATCCAGCGTATGTTGGCAATTTGATCTCTAGTACCTCTCCCTCTTCGAAATCCTGCCTGTACTTCTGGTAGTTCTCAGTTCACATAGTGCTGGAGCCTAGCTTGTAGGATTTTGAGCATAACTTTGCTGGCATGTGAAATGAGTGTGATGGTGTGGTAGTTTGGACATTCTTTGGCACTGCCCTTCTTTGGGATGGGAATGTAAACTGACCTTTTCCAATCCTGTGGCCAATGCCAAGTTTTCCAAATTTGCTGGCATATTGAGTGTAGCACTTTACCTGCTTCGTCTTTTAGGATTTTGAATGGATCAGCTGGAATACTGTCTCCTCCACTAGCTTTGTTGTTGCTCAGACTTCCTAAGGCCCATTTGACTTCACATTCCAGGATGTCTGGCTTGAGGTCAGCAACCACCCCATCGTGGTTATCAGGAACGTTAAGGTCTTTCCTGTATAGTTCTTCTGTGTAATCTTGCCTCCTCTTCTTATTCTCTTCTGCCTCTGTTAGGTCCCTGCCATTTTGGTCCTTTATCATGCCCATCTTTGCATGAAACATCCCCTTCATATCTCCAACTTTCTTGAAGAGATCTCTGGTCTTCCCTATTCTATTGTTTGCTTCTGTTTCTTTACACTGTTCATTTAAGAAGGCATTCTTATCTCTTCTAGCTATTCTCTGCAATTCTACATTCAATTGGGTCTATCTTTCCCTTTCTCCCTTGCCTTTCGCTTCCCTTCTTTCCTCAGCTATTTGTAAAGCTTCCTCAGACAGCCATTTTGCTTTCTTGCCTTTCTTTTTCTTTGGGATGGTTTTAGTTGCTACCTCTTGTACAATGTTGCGAACCGCCGTCCATAGTTCTTCAGGCACTCTATCAGATCTAATTCCTAAAATCTATTTGTCACCTCTACTGTATATTCATCAGCAATATGATTTAGGTCATATCTTAGTGGCCTAGTGCTTTTCCCTACTTTCTTCAATTTAAGCCTAAATTTTGCAACAAAAAGCTCATGATCTGAGCCACAGTCAGCTCCTGGTCTTGTTTTTACTGACTGTATAGAGCTTATCCATCTTTGGCTGCAGAGCACATAGTCAATCTGATTTCTGTGTTGACCATCTGGTGAGGTCCATGTCTACTGGGTTGTTGGAAAAGAGTGTTTACTATGACCAATGTGTTCTCTTTGACAAAAATCTGCCAGCCTTTGCCCTGCTTCATTTTGTACTCCAAGGCTAAACTTGCCTGTTATTCCGGTTATCTTTTGGCTACCTACTTTAATATTCCAATCCCCCATGATGATAAGGGCATCATTTTTTGGTGATAATTCTAGAAGATGTTGTAGGCCTTCATAGAACGAATCTACATCAGCCTCTTCAGCATCAGAGGTTGGGGCATAGACTTGGACTACTATGACGTTGAGTGGTTTGCCTTGATTTCAAACTGAGATCATTCTGTCATTTTGGAAATTGTATCCCAGTACTGCTTTTCCTACTTTTTTATTGACTATGAAGGCTACTCCATTTCTTCTTAGGGATTCTTGCCCGCAGTAGTATACTTGATGGTCATCTGAATTAAATTCACCTATTCCTGTCCATTTTAGTTCACTGATTCCTAAGATGTCGATGTTCAATCTTGTCATCTCTTGTTTGACCACGTCCAGCTTGCCTTGATTCATAGATCTTACATTCCAGGTTCCTATGGAGTATAGATCTTTGCAGCATCGGACTCTCCTTTCACCACCAGATACATTGGCAACTGAGTGTCCTTTTGGCTTTGACCCAGTTGCTTCATTCTTTTTGGTGCTACTAGTACTAGTTCTCTGCTCTTCCCCAGTAGCACACTGGACACCTTCCGACCTGAGGGGCTCATCTTCCAGCATCGTATCTCTCTGCCTGTTGATACTGTCCATGGGGTTTTCATGGCAAGGATACTGGAGTGAGTTACCATTTCCCTCTCCAGTGGATCACCTTTTGTCAGAGCTCTCTGCTATGACCTGACCATCTTGGGTGCCCCTGCACAGCATAGCTCATAACTTCATTGTGCTACACAAGCCCCTTCGCCACAGCAGGGCAGTTACCCATGAAGGGGCTTAGATCATTACTATGTATTAAATACATAAGCTCAACTTTTACAACTTTGCAAAATATCCTCCCTATATTACCAGGAACACAGAGTAGGGAACAAGAGAAAGAGAGAATTGGTTTGCCCAAATCCTGGTGAATTTGTTGCACAATTGAAAGCTTCTGGATTCATAGATTACTCTTAGCAATTTGTCAGAAATTAGTTATTCAGAACTACATTTACTGAAGAAACTTTTAATGCTATTTTAATAAGCACCTTTGTCTGCAGGACTGCGACAAACGATGCTTGGGTTCTGTCTGCATGAGAAGCAATGCTTCAGAATCCAGTGGTGGGATGATGGTAAAAGGGTATCTGTTGATGGACCACTACTCCAGTTTCCACTATTAAGGAAGGGTCACAATGTTTTAAACTGTTTCATATAGGTTAGGAAAATGATGCAATAGAAATGTATAAAGTTAGCCATGATGTGGAGATACAGAGACCTCTTGCTTCTTCTTCCTTAATGCTAGAACACAAAATCAGCTCTGATGAGAAATGCCTAACAGATGGTAGATTTAGGACAGACAAAGAGAGCACTTCTTCTCAGAGCACATAGTTAAATTATGAAATTCACTTCCACAAAGTAGGTTGATGGGCACGAACTCAACTAGCCTTAAAGGGGAATTAGATGCACCCATGGAAGGTTACTGCACTGGGTGGCTATATACTACCTCCAGTATCAGAAGTAGCGTGCCTCTAGAGACATGATACTGAGACCAGGAGCAGAGGACTATTGCCCTCATGTTTTATGGGCTTCCCATGGGCATCTTGTGGGCCAATATGGAAAAGGCCTTGCCTTTTTTTTGTTCTGCTGCTGAGATTCTAGCAAAGGTTTCTGGAGTAGGTAGACTGTGACTTGGTCTTACCTAAAAACATGTATACTTTGCTAGGTCATTTGCTCAGCATCCCTCAGAAGTGAGTGTATAACTAACCTATCTTAAGGGATCCTGTTTATTTAATTTAATTTATTTTATTTCATTCCACTACTATGCCACCCCATACCCCAAAAGTTCTCTAGTTGGCTTATAAATGCTGAAAACAGCATTCTAGGTATAGACTTAAGCAGCTGACCTGTCAGATGCTGCCTGGAGATTATGGGAATTGTAGTCCAACATATCTGGAGGGCATCAGGTTGGGAAAAGCTGCAGTAGACCATCTCAACCTAATCTACTAGTGCTAATATGTATAAAGCACTAACTGTCAAACATTCAATGTTTTCTACACATTATCGTAGCTGCACAGCTTGCTACAAATGTGTAACATAGGTGAGCAGTATCATCTCCTGCATTATGGATGCTGGTGCTAAGAGAGAGCCAGGGTTTATCTAAAGCATGGGTCCTCAAACTACGGCCCGTGGGCCAGATCCGGCCCGCCATGCCCATTTATTCGGCCCGCCTCAGAGGTTTTGAACTCCCTGCACCTGCCGCCCGCCTCTCCGCATGCATGTTTGCTGCCACCTTGCTGCTTGCTCGCTTGGAGATCTTTTGGACTCACTTGGAGAAAACAATCTCTGAGCGAGCAAGCCACTGCCTCGCCGCGCGTGCCCACCTCACCCTGTACTCGCCCACCACTGCCTCACCGGCCTGCCCCCCGCCTCACCGGCCTGCGCCCACCACCGCCTTTCCACTGGCTCCCTGTTGAAAAAGTTTGAGGACTCCTGATCTAAAAAGTTCATGGCAGAGATGAAATCTGAACCGGAGGCTTCCTTATCTGTAGCTCCTCTGTTAGCCACTACAACATATCAGCTCTGAACACTAGCTGTGTATGTGAGCGGTACATGAATGGAGCCATACATGCAGTCCTGATCTCCCTGGAAAATAGGCAGCATAAAAAATGCAACAGATTGTGGTGAGGGGGAGAGAAGTGGAGGAAACCAGATGAAACTGCCCAGGCCACCTGTGCTCTAGTGAACACAAATGCCCAACAGCTACAATACCCTATACTAGCCTTCCTCCTGAATGCGTCCATCCCAAAACCCATACGAACAAACAGAAACCATGGCTTGGTTAAACCAGGAAGTAATTAATCAACACAAATGAGGAAAAAAGCATTTAAGCACAGCACTTGCTGATGTCTCTTCAATCCACGTTCAGGAGAATTGTCTGAATGCAGCAAATGTCATGGGGTGTATTTATTACTGTGGGCTTACCCAGACACTGGAAAATTGTTACAGGCACTAGGAACGTGGGGATGCCATCCTTCTGCACATCACCAGGGTCATGCACTGAATGATTCTTGTTCACTCAAGTAATTTTGTGCTTGCCATTCATCTTTTAGCTGGCTGAATGCCCAAATATGTTATGTTCTCCAATCAGTAATAGACATAGCTACCAGACAATCACAGACACTTTTCATCTGATGGAGATATGCATCCTGCTCAACAACTTACAGTTCTGGACACTTTTGTATGCATTTATTTATTAAATTTATATTCTGCCTCCTTTCCTACAACAAACTCAAAGTGGCTTATATCATTCCCCTCCCCCTCCTGCTTTCAATTCTATCCCCACAACAACAACCCTGTGAGGTAGGTTGGGCTGAGAGTTTGTGACTGGCCCAAAATCACCTAGTTGGCTCCATGGCTAAGCAGGGTTTAGAACCCAGATCACCTAAGTCCCTGTCCCACTCTCTTAATACTACACCACACGGGCTATCTTGAAACTGATTAAGCCTCAAGTCAGTGATACTTCCTGGTGTCCCTGAAGCCAAACCAATCCCTGCACTCCACAAGTGCCCTTTGTCTCAACACATATATAATTGTTTAGTACACAAACAAAAACTAAAAAAGAGGGAGGCAAGGGGCATGACCAACCAGTATGTTCCAGTTTCTCTGGTAACCAATTATCATATATACACATAGAAGAAATATATGAATTACAAAACAGGAAGCAATTCAAAACCATTCTATTCTAATAGGAATGCAAAGTCATGAGAAACAGGCAAGTGATAACAGCCACCAATATTTTTGTATTCAGAATATGTTGCTACGCCAACAGAAACCATCTCCCTCCCATTAGGATACTTACCAGCAATCTGTTCCTCAGTCAGCTGATCGGCCTATGTAAAGAACAGAAACATATTTCAGAGCATTGTTTACCTGCAGCTATGTCAAACCACAAGTCACAATGGCAGCTCAGCAAGACAACACAATATGATGTCAACATCTGACACAATCAGAAACAAATACAACAAATCACTGCTTCATCCACTGAAGCAGGAACGGGGAACTTGTCATCCTCCAGAAGTTGCTCCAGCACATCTATCAGCCACTCTGACCATTGACCTATGCTGCGTGTGGCTGGTCGGGCAGTTGGGAGGGCCCATGCTCCCTACCTATACACTAGATGGGAAACAAACCTGACTGATATGGCACAGTATGGAGGAGAATATGAAGCGTCTAGCCAAAATGTCGGCTTGCCAGGACAAACAAAACCTACCTAGTGTTCAAGAGAGCAAAACTCTTCTTTCAGGGCCATATCATAGTTTCATTACAGCCCAGAGACTGCCAGCCCCGGCTATGTATCGTGATACTTTGCACACAAACAAGTCAGCAAGATGTAAGCCACCGAGCAATGCCAAATCATTGAGGGATTTCCAAAAACTGTCCAAAACATGAGGAAAAGACATATTCAGCACCAAATTTATAATTTAAAAATGTGTGTTCTACTTTCCGATAGAATCTAATTTTACAGCACTTGAGGCCACACTGGAATTTACCAATCTACTGAGTGCCTTTTTAATGAATATACTGTTTCCAAGGCTTAGTCATCAACCTACTCAATAATCCCACTATCAAAGCCAAAATCACGCACAATTGCACTAATTCTCTTCTTCTTCATCATCATCATCATCATCATCATCACCAGATTGATCTACCAAAGTCAAGGACATGACCCAACCAATCTTAGAAGTATTGCATCCCATCAATTTTCACAGGAAAGATGCAAGTATGCACTTTTTCTGCCAGTGAAATCAGTGCTTTTTAATGCTGAATTCTGGGGAATTTGTGTGTATCCTGTGCACTCAGTATGTTCTTCGACAGTCTCAAGATCTTTCCTCCATTTGACACAGGCAGAGTCAAATCCCTCCTCTGCTGCCTTCTCCAGCTGATAGTCTTATGTTTTGAACTGGAACACCCAGTATCTCTCACCATTGTCCTAACTGAGGGGAAATCTAATATATCTGAAAAGCATCAGGTTGGGGGAAGTCTGCATTTCTGATTTCCCCTTAAAAGTATGCTCTGCATGAGTACAACATAGTTCAGACTCCTATGGAAGTTAGGAAAGGTTGCTGTGAGCTTGAAAAGCCAACAAATGCACCAAAAGCCCAGCTGCAGTCAGAAAGCCTCTGCTGTTCACCACTGCTTCACCAATGCAGCAACTTGCCACTGGCTTAAAGGCATCCCAAGAAGGCATATTATATCAGTCATAGTATTTCTCTCTGGCTGCTTATGTGAAACTCTATGCTGTGACCTCCCAGAACTCAGCCTTCCCTTCCGTGAGGCAAGTTGACATGGTGATTTACATAACATATCAGAGCAATGCAGAACAGGAAACAGGGCCACACCTCATAGAAAGAAGGATGCAAATTAACAGAACCAAAGTGCAGGAAGCCCTCTGTGTGAGAGCTGACAGATAAGAATCCAGGTTTTGCACTTGCAAGTTGCCACCTAGTACAGGTTGCGTTTGCTATTCAGTACCCTCTGGATCGCAGATGAAGGTGGCCAATACCATCCTGAATCAGCCACTCCACCCATGCAAGTCATAAAGAAGGGGGTGGGAGAACATGGATCTGATGATGTCACCCTTTGCAACAGGATGAAGGGGAACTGGAGAAACACCCTGCATGGCTCATAATCCTATTTGGCCATCTGCAGCCAGAGTCTTCCTCTCTGCTACGGGAAATGGAAGCCGAAATTTCCCCTTTCCTTTTCCCTCTTGGCACTTTCCAGTGTTACCGTATTGCAGAAAATCCCTGGTTTCTACTGTAGATGCAGTGTGTGTGTGTGTGTAAAACTGAATGAAGGTAAAAGATCCCTTCCTAATCCTAATAAATAATCTGTGGTGGGGGGGGGGGGCTCACTCAGGCAGCACTAGATCAACAAGGTTAAATCAAGCTGCATAAAGGAAAATACAGTGTCAGTGGCCCATTTCTGTAATATGAGGACCAAAAAGCTACTCCGCTGCACAAGCAATAACCTTGTTTTTTGACATCAGCAGCAGCTCAGGAGCAGCCCATCCTTTGGGCACCTCCAAGATCAACATGCCAACCCATGCTTCTAACACACTGTGCATTTAATTCCCTTGCCTCATACCCACTGAAACTCTGTGGCAGTGACTTTTGAAAGAAGAGTCTTACTGGAGACTTCTAGGAAACAATTCTCCACTTATTAGCAATGCTGTAGGTTTTCATCCTCTCCCCTCACTGTCCCTTGGGGTTAGTAGGGTGGAGGCTCAAGAGGAAGAGGAGGAGATATGATGTAATGCAGTCATCCAAGGCAGTGCTGTGTTTCAGGGGCTCTGGGAAGGGGGGGTGAAGAAAGCAGCACAACAGCCGCAGAGGTCCCCCCTCCCCCCTCACCCTGCGCAGTGCAGCTGGTGTAAGAACTGGCACAGTTTCCATCATTCTTTTGATGCCCTCCCAAACTGAACTGCCATTTCCTCTCCTTACCAGCCTCATCTTCCTCCACATATATACCTCCAAAGGAAAAAAGGCAGGACCTACATCTACTCAAAACTTAGGATTTTCTTTTCTTTTTAACTGAGATTTGCCAACAAATATGCAGCCAATTACATCCTTCCTGACTGGAGATGATGGGAGTTGGAATCCAACCCACATCGAAGGTGCTAGGTTGGGCAAGGTCAACCCAAACCCTCCATCTCCCAGTTTTATATTCTGAGAAAAAGAAATCCACATTTTCCTCCTCAACATACACTGAGTGGCCGAATGCAAACACATACTTTCTTTCCACCATGCTGAAAGGTCATTCCAACAATCTGAATTTTAATTAAAAAACGAGTGTGATGGGACTCCATATCTGTGGCACATGCTGCCATGTCCCTAAAAGGTCACACCATGTCAGAAGCTGCACCCCTTTCTTCCCCCACTGGGATTTTTTCACAAGTGGGAAGAGACAGAAAAATATTCCATTCTCTTCTTTCTTCTCCGCGTTTGCTTCCACGCCCCACATCCAGTCTCACGGTTTATCCCCAAGCAAAAACTAGGACCTCTGTGTTTAATCCTCCGGGGAACCATCTAGCTACGGACAGACCAAAAACACTCTCTTTATTCCCTGGGAGAGAGGAAAGCAGCGCGACGCAGCTAGGAAGCAAGCAACTGCTCAGCCCTCTGGAGAAGCGTGGGCACCCTCACCGTGAGAACGCTCTAACCACGAGCGAGGCGCGTTCACAACCACCACCTCGCCCAGAAAGCGGGGTTTCGGCGGGGGGAGAATGGGCGCGCCTGCCTTGCATCCTACCTCCCTTCCCCGCCAACTCCCCGGAACTCCAGCAAGAGGAGGAGGGGGCTACAGGATCTCCGGGGGTGCCACGCGAAGCACGCTCCGTCTCCAGGCACCGCTGCCCCCGGGCCGAAGCGCCGGAGCATCCCCACCCAGCCTCAGGCGTCGCCAGGCGGCACGGCGAGCCGGCTTCCACGCGTGCGTGTGAGCAAGGGCGCCGGGAAGCAGACCAGTTCCGGGCTTTCCCGAAGCACAGGAACCGGCCGCAGCCCTTTGGCACGGGGAAGAGGCGAGGCACCGCCAAGAACTCCCAAGCAGGCACGCGGAGGGGGGCCGGCTTTAGGGTCCAGCAGCCCTCTCCTTTGGGAGCAGCGCCAGGCGAAGGTGGGGACCCCCATTCCGGACAGCCACGGCTTCCTCATGCCCGGCAACGCGGTCCACCCAGCAGCGCCGCGTGGCTGGCCTCCGAACGACCAGCAGGAGAGTCCGGCGTGTATGAAAGATCACCGATACCAGCCAGCCCACTTCAGAAAGCCGGCGATCCGGCTGCCGCTTCGCTTCCTCCCGCCACACACGCACGCGCGCGCACACACACACAGAGTATCCGAATATTATCTCTACCCGCAAACTCTCCAGGCGACCGCAAGGATCCGGGCCCGATGGAATCTCCGCTGCTGCAGACGTCCAAGCTAGCCATGCAACCGGACAGCCGAGCTCCGGCAAGGTCCCCCTCATCAAAACTGCAGAAAGATCCAGTAGCAGCAGCAGCTCGGTGAAAAGCAGCGCGCAAATCCAAATGCTTCTCCTCCAGGTTTTCAAAGAAAACGCAAGAACGACCCTCCGCGGACCAACACACACACTAACACACACTCTCGCGCCCCGAAAGACCCGTTGCGCAAGGCCAGTCCCAAAGCACACCAAGCGATGAAATCAGCTCCGTTTGCTGCAGGCAGATCCGAGCTACCTACCATTGTGCCTGCTGGCGGCGGCGTCGGCGGCGGCGTCTGCTGAGCACTGGCAAAGCCACAGAAGGCAGGCGGCTGCGAACAGCTATCGCTTCCTCTGCGCTTGGCCAAAATGCTGTAGGTGTGAGTCTGCGCGGCTTTTTAAGGCGCGCTGTATCCCTCCGCCAGAGGAGAGTCTTTCTCCTCCCAGGACCGAGGCGTGTGGTAGCGGCGGAGTGACTGCAGCAGGCTGCCCTCCCCCCGCGCTGCCTCGGCCCCCTCCCCCGCTCACTCCCTCAGCCAGCCCAGCTGGCAGGCGGCGAGGAGAGGGGCTCGCCCGCTCGCTCAGACAAAACAGCGGACGGACCGCGCCGCGCCGCGCTCGCAGCAGCGCATTAGCAAGGCCTGCCAGGGGTGACTCTCGCGGCTGCGCTGCGATTGCAGCAACAGATGCTTCTTTTGGGGCGCAAGCGGCTGGCCGGCGACAGGCAGTGTCCCCGCAGGGCACGGGGAAGAACAGCCTCTCTGTGCCCGTCCGAAGAGGCTACTCAGTCAGGGCTGAAGCCCTCGCGGTAGAAAGCGCTCGCCGCCGCAGTGGCAGGGACTTCGTGCCTCAGCGGGGAGACGCATCCGCCGGGCAAAGGGAAGGCGACGTCTCGCCTTGTGCAGGATATCCCGGAAGGGGCACCACGTTGTTTTCTATGCAATTTATGAAGACTCCGAAGGCAAAGCACTGGTGGAATTCATTTAGATGAAGCCACATTACCTGGAATCCCACTCCTGTTTCAATATTCCCTTCATTTCAAGGCCATTCATTTCAGTTACTGCTCTAAGTAGGATTAACATTTTACTGGTATAGATCTGGGAGATGATGTTTTTGTGATAAAACGTTAAGACTGCAGATTTACCCGAAAGCCCTTTTAAATGCAGTGGGACATGTGCCTGAGGAAAGGTACATAGGATGGGGCTCCAGAAGATGGAAGGTTTACAGTAGCCGGTTGTCTGAACAGAAAGGGGCGGTCGAAGCTCTTAAATCTCTCCTGTTTCGATATTGATGTATATATTTATGTGGTTTCATCTTTTTTTGACATGGAGCAGACGAAGGAGTGGGGCAAGCAGTACCCATTTGCCCGTGGCTGGAATTTGAAGATATATTTGCACTTACTGCAAAATTAACGTTGAATCCTTGTGTGTTGCAGGGCATTTAGCACATTGTGGAAGAACTTTGTGATTCGACAGATAACCCACAATATGGGTGTTACAACCTTGAGTGCTGGTCCCTCCTTGAAAGCAACATCGGAGGACCATAGGTGGCTCCCCAGGCACCTTAAGTGGGCTTCTCTGCTTCTGTCCGTCTCTTTGCAGTAGCTGCGCAACTCTGCAGGCGGGTCTCTCTAGCCTTGCTTTTTGTCTTCTTTAGCAGTGGGCCACCTGCTGTGTTTTGTACTGCTAGAGGAGACTGTAGGGCTTGGGGGAGTCAAAAGACCTGCTGTTTATCAGCTGTAAGGTAGCCTGGGAGGGCCGGGGAGAGTGCAGGAGCAATAACAACCAATTCCTTATGTCTGGGGGAGAAGAGCCCAAAAAACAAAAAGTGATATGATTGGCTGGCTGTAGTGATGTCTGTGCAGCAGCTGGAAAGGACAGAAAACTGAATGCATAGATGAGAGAAAGAGCAAAGTGGGCCTTTGCAGGGAGTGGTCTGTGCAGCAGGGCCTGGAACCCATATGGCTCCTGCTTGAAAAATAGTGATGATCATTGCCCCAGAGCTGTGTTTAGTGACGTCAATGGAAGATTTCCTTAGCTGAATTTCCGTGCAGATGCAATTTTTAAGGGGGGATGTATAAAGGAAGGGAAGAGTTAAACCTCCCCTCCTTACATGTTGGAACACCCCCACCCTCCACTACAAATGTATGGCAATTAAACTTGTTGGGAGTGGGGGACTTCCACTGGTGCTAATGGAGGTTTTCCTTTCTTTCTTGGTATGTGAGTGTGTATGTGTGCAAGGAGGATTTTTCCTCCAGGAAGGAAGGAGAGAAGCAGAAAGGGAAAGCAGTTTTGGAAGAAAAGCAGTTGCTGATGAACCGGAATTAAATAGGAAGTACTGTAACAATTGCATCATCAAGAATAGGGTACAAATTTTTAAAATATTTGAGATGATTTGGATGGGAAATGAATTTACTGACTCTGCCTGCTGTGGAATTTAAATAGATCCTAGTAATTATTTGTAAATTTGTTTATATAGATGTGAATTGCCACATGCAACATTTATGCAGATTTGTGACCTATGAGCCTGGGTCCTGAATCTTAGAAATGCCCGGCAATGCTCCTAGCGCAGAAGAAAGGTCAGCTCCCTGTGCCGTGGTCTTACTGGGGTGTGGAGAGCTTTGTAGCACTGTTAAACCTTTTAGAAAGATAAGATCTTTTACATGATCATGAGTTTTCCATCATATACCCTCTATAACATTATATGCCTTAAGCCTTTTTGAATAAGGACTTGAGCCAAACTATGGGTAACAACAGAATCACAGAATAGTAGAGTTGGAAGGGGCCAGAAGGCCATCTGGTCCAATCACCTGCCCTTGCAGGGCACCAAGTAACACCATCCCTCTCAGATGGCTGCCCAGCTGCCTCTTAAATGCCTCCAGTGTGGGAGAGCCCACAACCGCCCTAGGTCATGGGTTCCATTGTTGTACTGCTCTAACAGTCAGGAGATTTTTCCTGATCTCTAGCCAGAATCTGGCTTCCTGTAACTTGAGCCCATTATCCTGCCTTCTCCACTCTGGAATGATCAAGAAGAGATCCTCTTTTTGATAGCCTTTCAAGTACTTGGAGTGCTATCATGTCTCCCTCAGTCTTCTCTTCTCATGCTCAGTTCTTTCAAGCTCTGCTCACAGGGTTTTTTTCCCAGTCCCTGAATCATCCTTGTTGCCCTCCTCTGAACCCCTTCCAGCTTGTCAGCATCTTTCTTAAACTGTGGTGTCCAGAACTCGACATAATAGTCCAGATGAGGCCTAAGCGGTGTTGAGTAAAGGGAAGCTAATACTTTACATGATTTGAAAGTGAGACTTCTATTAATGCAGACTAAAATAGCATTTGCCCTTTTTGTAGCTCCATATTCATCTTGTGGTGTACAACTATTCCTGTGATGAGTTGTAACATCTAGGATGTCTCTCACACAGTGTTTTGCAATGTGTTTTCTACAGAACAAGAACTTCCTCTTTTAACTGAACCTCTAACCCTAACAAAATCCCATTTATTTTGCAGTAACTCTTGGTTGTACTGACCACACTTGTGAATTCCCTAAACTGTTGAGATGCAATTCTCAGAACCCCTAGTTTAGAACTTAGCATTAACACTGGAGAGACTACTGTGGTATTATATTGTGGATTTTATTTCCCCGTTATAAATTAGAAACAATTGAATGGTACACGTTATGTGATTATTCTTTCTGCTGAGTGGGTTTACACGACAGAAAAGGCCATGATGGCTTATAATCCAGGAATGCCTTATCATGTTTTCTGAACCTAACAGCATGATTTGTTAAGCCAGTCTGAGTTAGGCAAAAAGCAACCCAGGTTTATAAGCCACCATGGTTTCCTTTGTTATGAACCTACCATTTACCTCCTTTTGCAAAGGCAAGAGCTGCGTATGGGTTGACCATGGGTTGTAGTGGGGTTGTTGTTGAAACATGGCTTTTCTTCTTGTCTGAAGCTAGCTGTGATAACAAGCCATGGTTTGTTAAACATGAACTCATGAAAAGAACCAATGGTTATGAACTTCTGGCTGGGTTCAGACAACATGATAACTTAGGTTTCAGTGATTTATTTCATGTCATCCCACATTCAGCCAATACTCAGTCCTTGGTATATGGGTTAGTCTGTTGTCTGGACCCAGTCAGTGTCTTAAGTGTCTCAGTATGAGTACAAAGGGATTTTTGTACCCTGTACTCTGTATCCCACTTTAAATAGATCTTAATATGCAGATGTGACAGTATCATTATTAAGCCATATATGATGCTGTTATGAGTTTGGGGTGTTTTAATTATAGAGAATGGGTCTATCACTAATTTTATATATTTTCTATAACTTGTAGCCCATCCTTCTGCAGCAAGATGTACTTAATCAGCTCAAACACATTTGATGTACAATACAATTAAGAAAACAAACAATTAGTTTTACCTAAAAGTCATCTGAAAGAAGGAGGGCAGTAAACTGATTTTTAAAGACTCTTAATAGTCTTTAGAAACATAGAAACAGAGTGAGTCAGAAGGGACCCCTTGGGCCATCTAGTCTGACCCCTCGCTCTAGCCAGCTCCGCTCATGACATGCCTGCCATGTGCATGTCCAGCCTATCCTTGAACACCTTCACCGATGGGACTTCAAGCACCTCCCATCTTTGATGCCCTAGTCCCCAGTATAGAATATGACAACTCATGTCAGGGTTTAGAGAGCACAAAGCCATTTTCAAAAAGCTTGAAGCCAACTGGCTAGTTTAAATTGAAAGTCAGAAGGAGAAAGAAAAGGCAATGCGTTGACTGAAACTGATTCACCTTTGGGCCCTCTTTATGAATCTGATTCCAGAACAGCATCTTTACTACCTTCTTACAGGTATCTGTTTGATTTCACTATGTCAATAAAGCAAACTTTATTTATTATATTTATATCCCACATGTTTTCCTCCCAAGGAACTCAAAGTGGTTAACATATTCTTTTCCTCCTCTCACTCTTATCCTCACAGCAACAACCCTGTGAGGAAGCTTAAGCTGAGAGTCTATGCCTGCCCCAAAGTCACCCAGTGAGTTCCATGACTGAGTGGGAACTAGAACCCAGATCGTGCAAGCCTCAATCTTGCACCCTTAACCATGACACCATACTGGCTTTTATGGAGATACAAGTTTTCAGTGTTCACTCATCTAAAGTATACCAAATGCATAACTTCACCAAGTAAGTGGAGAGTGTGTAACACTGGTGTTGGAAATGGGATATGTTCATACTAATCCTTCTGATGCTGTTGCCTGGAAGTATTAATCCTGTTTTAAGCATATAGGCCTTACCAGAAATACTATTCTGGCACTTTGCATTGCTCCAGGTCAGAAAGAACTTTAGAGTGCCTAGAATTTCTGAAATTCCTGCATGTCTGGACACACCTTACCCAACCTATAATGGACTATTGTTGG